TTTGTTATTTGTTATTTGTTATTATATATATATATATATATATATATATCTCTAAACATATAGACTTACATAGTAGGCATTGCGAGCATATGACGGCGACAGGACTGATTCAGGGCATTAGACGAATAAATACAAATTATATATATATATATATAAATGCGTGGTTACTTCGTATATTTTGCGTACATTCTTTTTTATGTATTTATGTATAAAGAATTGCAGCGTGCAGCGATTGTGCGGCTTGCCGTTGTGTGCTGCATTGTGTCACTATATTCAGATATGTCGATCAGATCTGTTGTATTTCAATAAAACGTAACATCAATTTATATACTTTGATATCAATTCACAACCTGATAGCATTTCTTTGAAGTCGTGTACGGCATATTTGGGTTTATATTCTCACGAGCATTGTTTTTCAGATCTGAGTATGTAAGTAGTGGTTTCCTGACGATTTTATTGCGGATTCTACAGCTATACCTGCCATCTGCCTCTACATCGTTGTACATGGACATCTGAGCTTGGCACTGAGTGTTCACCATACCTCATTCAAAGTGCACCCGCCTGTAATTGTGCAGAAAACTGACCGTGGTCGATGATCGAGAGGGGAAGAGACGGGTGAAGATATTAGCTCAGCTCCCAGGGGATGATCGAGAGAAGGCGCACCAGTCAATACAAGACGAAGTTCGTGATCGTGTCAGTAATCTGAAATGTTCCATGGAAACTAGCTACGAAGTATGTTTAATGATTATGTTTGATGCTGGAGGTGCTCTCCGTGTGTGCCAGTATCACTGTAGCTTCTCTTTCCCATTTTTGGTGGCTATTTCGTTTGGGTATTCTGGGGACGCCTGCCCCATACCCGTGGCATTTGGGTTTAGAACCTGTCTGGTGTGTATCTAATCGTAAACGTCAACTAACTCGCTTGGGGCCGCAGAACATCCTGCTAAATTTGTCTAATGGATCTTTAGACACTTCGGCCAGCCTGTTTATAATATGCATTCTTAAACACACCTATATCCTTGGATACAGGATGCAATACATCAGGAGCTAGAAGCAGACCGCTCGTTTACCAAGTTTCTGACCACCGAAATGCCACCATGCCAGCGCTATGTGCGCTTTTCGACAAAATCCGGTATGTTTGGCAGGTGCTATTCCTTAATTTAACCGTGCTTGTTCGCTGGGGTGTTCGATGTGTGCAAATATTTTTATAGATATCTGTGTGTTTATGTGGTGCGTGTGTTGTCTGTGTTATCTTACATGGTGTGTACTGGTAAGGCTTCTATGACCTCTTATATATTCCTTGTGTGCAAAGTATGGACAACCTGTGCTATCTTCCGTTGTTTTATTACCAACTCTCACTCTGTTATCTTACATAGTGTGTACTGGTAAGACTCTGTTATCTTACATGTTGTGTACTGGTATGGCTTCTATGACCTCTTATATGTTCCCTGTGCCTGTGCTATTACGTTGTTTTATTGCCAACTCCCACTCCCTTAAACGTCTCTCAACTCCCTAAGCTCACTCTCAGAAAATTTACTTAGATTTGCATTTTTTTTTACCCACACTACTATTCATTAATCACGTGTGCTCTGTCCCCAGCTTCTAATGTGCCCTCACTTTGCTCTACAGCATCGCCTGACCACTGGTCCTTCATGTATCTGGTATCTATATGTGCATCGTACGTAGACTGTGATCCAACCGACCTCAGAAGTCTCATCATGAGCATCGAGTCCGATATTCTAGGCCCGACTATGGTTTCTACTATCGAATCGAGAGTTAGAATACCAATTGCACGGCAGAATAGGGCGCTTACAGATCCGCCGCATGCGGTGACTGATGGATCTACAAGTGCTGTAGAAAGCAATACTGGGCGATTTATGGGGCAAGATGGGGGTATCGGTTCAGAGGCACTTGCGGGCGAAACTGCGGCGGGAGCTGTGGCAGAGAATGGAAATAAAGCTGTGACCCAGGCAGAGAATTCTGTTGCGCCAGTGAGTGCGTCAGACAGCAGTATGGTAGTACGTAAGGCGAGAAGAAAAGCTTTTATGCAGAAGTTTAGGGGACTGGGAACCACCAAAGGGCCGGTTCAGGTCCGAAAGAATAGGGGTGCGAAACGGTTCGAGACACGTAAGACAGTGACCGAGAAGACGAAACAACAGGACGACGACGACAGCGTGCCAACTGAGGAAAATACAGTGGCATCTCGGACGAGGACCGTTGGTGTGCGGAGAACGCCTAGAAAGATTCGAGGCATTAGGCGCTAACAGGCGGCGTATAGGGAGAGCTGCAAGGATAAATAAATTAATGACTATATGATAAGGAGGGAGGCACTTGCAGCTAACAGGCGGCGGATAGGGAGAGCTGTGAGGATAAAAACTGAGAAGTGAATAGCTCATGGACTATATAATAGAGATGGAAGCATTTGCCTCTAGAAGACGGCGTACAGTATGATTTGCGACGATAAAAACGGAGAAGTGAATAGATAGAGGACTACATAATAAAGGAGACATTTTGCCGTTAAAAGGCGGCGTATAGCGTGATCTGCGACGATAAAAACCGAGAAGTGAAAAGATTGAGAACTATATAGGAAAGGAGACATTTGCCGCTAACAAGCGGTGGATAGTGTAATCTGCGACGATAAAAACTTAGAAGTGAATACATTAAGCACTATAAAATAATGATTGGAAGCATTAGGCGCTAACATACGGTGGATAGGGAGATCTTCGAGAATAAAAACTAAGAAGTGAATAGGTTAAGGACTATATAATAAAAAGGGTGGCAGTTTCCGCTAACAGGCGGTGGCTAGAGAGATTTGATACGATAAAAACTAAGTAGTGAATATATCGACTATATAATAAAGAGGGAGGCATTGACCGCTAACAGGCGGTGGATAGAGAGATTTGATAAGATTAAAACTAAGTAGTGAATACATCGACTATAAAATAAAGAGGGAGGCATTGACCGCTAACAGATGGTGGACAGGGAGATCTGCGAGGATATAAAGGGGGAAGTGGATAATTTAAGGACTATATAATAGAGATCGAGGTATTTACCGCTAACAGGCGGTGGCTAAAGTAATCTGCGAGAATAGAAGCGAAGAGGTGAATACATCAAGGACCATATAATAAAGAAGGAAGCATTCGGCGCTAGAAGGTGGCGTATAGTATGTTCTGCGACGATAAAAACAAAGAAGTGAAATAGTATAGGAGACATTTGCCGCAAACAACCGGTGGATAGTGTGATCTGCGACGATGGAAACTAAGAAGTGAATACACTACGGATGTATAATAAGATTGGAGACATTAGACGCTAACAGGCGGTGTATAGTGTGATCTGCGACGATAAAAACTAAGAAGTGAATACACTACGGATGTATAATAAGATTGGAGACATTAGACGCTAACAGGCGGTGGACATGGAGTTCTGAGAGGAAAAAACTAAGTCGTGAATAGATTAAGGACTACAGTATATATTAAAAAGAGAAATTTGCCGCTAAGAGGCGGTGGATAGTGTATTCTGCGAGGAAGATGACACAAACTAAGAAGTGAGTACTTTTAGGACCATACAATAATGAGGGAGGTATTTGCCTCTAACAGGCGGTGGCTAGGGAGAGATCTGCGAGGGGGGCGAACTAAGAAGTGAATATAATACAATAAAGATTAAAGACATTGGGCGTTAACAGGCGGTGAACAGGAAGATCTGCGAAAATAAAAACTAAGTAGAGAATATCTTTAAAAGGACTATAATAAAGATTGGAGATATTGGGCGCTAACAGGCGGTGGCTAAGGAGATCTGTGATATCAATAACCAAGAAGTGAATAGTAGAATAACTATATCATAGAGATGGAGGCAATAAGCGCTAACAGGCGGTAGATGGGATAAAAGTTGAAAAGTAAATAAATTATGTATTATATAGTAAAGGAGGAGGGTTTAGATGCTTAGAGTCGAAGTAAATATATTAAGGATTATATGATAAAGAAGAAGGCGTTAACCGCTTCTTTAAAAGGGAGGCGGATAGTGTGATCTGCGATGGTGAACCCTCAGAAGTGGATACATCAAGGACATTATAACAGAGATGAAAGCAATAACAGCTGAAAGAACGGCTGATAATGGGATTCGCAATAATGAAACGTAAGAAGTAAATACAGCAAGGACATTAGAATAAATATGGAGGCATTTGCCGCTATATGATGTGAATGATGGACATGTATATATGCAAGAAAAAAATATAAGAAGTGCATATCGCAAGAATTGCATAATATAGATAGAGGCAATAGATAGAAGCAATAGCAGCTAAAAGGCGACGGATATGCTGATGTGCGAGAGTAAAAGCTAAAAAAATGAATACCTCAAGGATTACATATTATATAGCTGAAGGTATCGGCTGCTGAAAGGTGGCAGATAAGAAGATCTGCGTGGAGAAAATCTGACAAGTGAATACAATAAGGAAACTATAATAAAGAAGGAGGCAATACTCGCTAAAAGATGACTTTAGTGACTCAAGGATCCTATATTATAGATGGAGACATTAGCCGCTAAAAGGCGGCGGATAGGGATATCTGCGAGGATAAAAACTAAGAAGTGTATACCTCTAGGATTTTATAATTTAGATGGAGGCATTAGCCCTAAAAGGCGGCGGGTAGGGATATCTGCGAGGATAAAAACTAAGAAGTGCATGCCTCTAGGATTACTTACTATAGATGTAGACAATAGGCCCTAAAAGGCGGTGGATATGGAGATCTGCGAGGATAAAAGCTAAGAAGTGAATGTTTCAAGGACTGTATATTAAAGATTGATGCATTGGCCGTTGAAGACAAGGGATAAACCCTACACGCCGTTGACGATGTTTTCATACTTTCTTCGCTGTGATTAAAAGCGCATCGCTTATTTAAAAGTTAAATATGCCCATTTAGCGTTTGTGTTCTTCATCCTGGTAGGGCCCTGGCATCTACACAACAAAAATACGTCCCTCTAGACACATGTCGTGCAGTTATAAGCCACAACTCTACCGCAACGCGCTTCCAAATCCGGGATTTTGGCCAGTTAACGAGCAGATCTGTACAAATCTACATATTCATTCTTCTATCGAATGCTGTAGCAAACATACAACGTAGAAGTATACGGTGCAAAAACCTTTTATGAACGATCCTTAATGTAGCAGAACCCCTATGACCAAAGTTTTCATTTTCAAGGGAGAATCCAAAGAAGTCGACTTCGTCGTCAGCAAGGTTCCTGCTATGGACACCAAAGTAGACACCGTATATTTGCCAAACCAGCTGTGTTGAAAGTATGAGTGAGGAATTATTTGGTACTGACTGATGGAGTCAGTCTCGGCCGCACCATTTCTCGAGTGGAAGGTGCTTCAGTACTCACTTGATATGCAACTCATATGAAAATGATGGCAGAGAATCCACTTTTGGGTATATGTGCCAGGTTCGGTCTTGTTAAAGCTATTGGTGGTGCCACTATTTACATGATTGATGCATGAAGTACCGCGGTTATCATATTTGACGACTAAATTGTATCAAGACATCAACTGGTATTACCGCGTCCTCAACTGGTACTACCGCGTCCGTCAAGATTGTGAAGGATTCATTCAATGCAGTGACAGCAGTCGAAATACTTCCAAGGTGTCCAGAGACCATCAACAATGAATAAAGCTATGTTCGACCGACTTGCTGGATTATGTACAGTTTACTGTCATTATATACGACGTTGCCGCCTTTTTGATATAGATAGTAATTTTCATCATTAAAACTAAAGTTCCATATATATAGATTACTATTGCTGTACAGCCCTTCAACTTCAGCAGAGTCATGCCAAATATATACACCATAAATATGTACATAACCACACATTTGTAATCACGTGATGATCCCTTGGCAGCTGTGAATGGTGAGCAAATGGGTGCTACATATCGCGATTCTTCTCCACACCGATTTTTGGTACCACTATTCTCCGCGTGCTTGCCGCAGACCTTGACGGTGTTTATATGTTTGGAAGTCTGCGCACTATATTTTCACCAAAGTGAACGAGGCGTGTATATATTGCTACAGTATCTTGTTGAACCAAATTGAAAAGAAATGCTGGCCGCTTTGAAATTGCTGAGACTTCCATTTGACAACTTTCTAGTCTACATGTCAATTTACAACACCCAAATAATCTCCAATTGCTTGTGTTTTTGACCCGCCTTTAGGTATTATCATCTGCGTATGTTACGCGGGTCTATGGTAGAACCATCAGGAAGGATGGTTCTCATGTTACATCCTTTCGGATGCCCCTTCGTAAAGTATGTTGTCGAACGTGCACACGGGTAGTAAAATGCGATTGGTTTGTCGACAGTATACTTTTACCACCCCCCATTATGGTAGTAATTATATTCTCCACAATTTGCATGGTGAGCTACCCTTTCTGGCAGGCTGAAAAGTAGGCCCGCTTCAGTGAAGGATGGCGCCTGTTCACTTAACCGCCCTTCATTCATGAACGATGTTCTGCAGTTAGACTTGTTGTAGTCTAGGGTTGATACTGCACACACATAGCAACGTCCACTTGATAGACCAAAACCAAGATGTTCTTCCATTCTCAAGAGATTTTATATATATAACGGTCAGTCTTGACACTATTTCATTTGTGAACTACTGAGCTCGTGGTTACTTCTTGTAGCACACGCGGTCAAGAAAGCGTTTGGGTACCTCGCTGGGAACTATTTCGCCTTTGAACAGCCCCCACAAGGTCTCCGAGAAGTGACCAATATTGTGGCGATAACATCTGCAAATCAGTGGGTTGGCAGATGTGAGTATTTATATCAAACTCAATAGTGAGTATATTTTATCTAGGCATAGTACCATAACGCATATTCTATTGCCTTGCCAGACGAAGCTGAGAGGTTTAAACCTTACACAAGGTGTTGGCCTGTCGTAAAATCTGTAACCGCTTCTGCACGAACATATCAAAACAGTCACACCTCACTTCCCGAGCGTGCTCTATGTAGAACGCACCACCCCCCACGATGATTCCGTCATTAATCATCAGAGTACTCTAATATATATATATATATATATATATAAATATATACATAAACATACACACACACACACACAACACACACACACACACACACA